TAAATTAAATGACTTAAATATAAATAAAAAGATTACTTAGCAATGAAACAAGAATCTTGACAGTGTGATGATGGAGAATAAGATGAAAAGACTGTATTTTACCATAAAAGTGTATGATGAAGCAAGATTTTTGAGCCAAATTTTCAAAAGGATCACAACGTAGCCTATGACTGTGTGTAACAATCTGCTACATGAAAGCAATGCCTGCACATTTTTTTAACAAGTGTGAGACACAGGTTTTGGATGCACAGACTGTTTTTTGCACATAATATCACATTTTTGCCTTTGTTGCAAAAATATAGCCAAAAGAGTGTATACATAATCTTCTGAGACTGCAAAATTATAGACGAAATGGTAGGAGTTACTTTGGCAAGTCTGGGCCTCTGAGTACTTGCATGATAAGTTCTTTTGAAAAAAAAAAGAAAAACATTTTTGTTAATTTATTAAAGCAACTGCAATTACTTTACTATAAAAACTTGATAGTGATTTCGTGAACTTCTATCCCAGTCTTATAAATTTATGACTAAATTCTGCTTGTTTTATGAATGCAGTTTGCAACACTTAGGATTTTCTCCTGAAGAACTGTTTTAGTTTTGGAATTCAGAAGTTACCACTTCTGTCTGAATCATTAAAAATAATTTCTTGCTAACAATTATTATTCAATTTTCCAATAGTAGTAGATTCATTTTTCAAGTCTGAATGTACAACTTCTATCACTGTCTCTTCTCTGACTAGAAGAGGCCAGGGCAATGAGAGCCATTGTTCAATTTTTATAATATACTTAGCAAAGTCCAATCCAGATCAGTTCAAATTCTTGAAACAGTGCTAACATTTGGCTTATCCGCAATGCGATTATTTTCACGTTGACGAATGCATTTACGACAATGCTGTTAAGGAGAGCGAATAGAAACTTTGAGAAGTATAATCCAATATGACATAATACAATATGCAAGTTGTTTGTATAATCTTATAAAAATAAGGCTTTTCTTTAGATGAGAGTCGCACGTGGGGAGGGTCCCACCAAATCCAGATTAGATGGCATGCAGATGCTGATCATGCAATCATTACTGAAAAGATTCCCCAGATGCATGCATTTTAGTGCAGCACTCGGAGAGACAAAGGAAGGATACTCTGAGGGATTGGTTGTATACATCAGATAGGCGTGAAAAGAGAAAGTATAAAAGACACAAAGGTAACAATTAGGAGGAAGAAGAATAAATAGCTTTAACGTTATTCAGAATAAAAGAAGGAAGACAGGATGCTTTGGGTCCAATCTTTAAGTTAAGCATGAAACCATTTGTGTAACCTGAACATACATTTACTTCATTTAGGTTAATCTTGCATACTGATGACCTGAATGAGCCACTGGTATGCATCTGGCAATTTGGATGCATGACCATGACAACAATGCATACAAATTAGGCACATGCAATTGCACACAAATTGTGTGTACTTTATTTGTTTTTGAAGTGGGCCCTTTATTTCTAAACTAGTCACTTCCATCCAGCAACAGAGCATGTATTTCTACATAAACACAAATAATAGCTAATATACAAATCATACACATGCAAAATACTAAGATACCCAAAAGATGAAAATAGAAGCACTCAGTTATTTTTTAAAAGAAATCATCTGAAAAAGCTACAGCCAACATCCAGGTATTGCTTCATCATCAGCACTCAACTCTCCTTCTCTGACAGGGAGCAGGAGGAGGAGGAGGAGGAGGAGCAGCGGATGGCAGTTAAGAGGAAAAACTGGTTTCTTAATTGACCTGGGAGAGAAGAGAAAGAGGGTGATGACACAGGGTTGCCAATATTTTCAGCAATTTGTCGACAGTACTTGGGAGCTGACCCTGAGAGCACCAATAAATGAGGTCAAGCAGTATGCAAAATATGATGGAAGAAACATTAGAATCAGAAATTATGGCATAGACAATATCCTCTAATTGCAGCATGTATGTGTAAAATCCATGTTTGCAGCTAAATGTTGACCCCATCTCACTCTATACTCCATCATGCTATATTGCACACAGTGGGACATACTCTTGGTTGCACCCAGCAGCCTCACTGAAGTCAACATGTAATTGAGAAATCAATTCTCTAAGACAGTGGTTTTCAACCTGTGTTCCGTGGACCCCTGGGGGTCTGCAGACTATATCTAAGGGGTCCAGGAAAGATGACTATGATCAATCAGAAATGTGTGAATACCCACACTTACCATATCGCACTGACATTAAATTTTTTTTAGGGATCTGAAAATGAAAAAAGGTTGAAAACTACTGCTCTATCAGTGGTTTTTCAAGAGTGGTTTTTTGCTGTTCTCAACCCTCACTCACAAAGAATGCCTCTGGCACCTGGTATATAACAGTGGCAAACTCACTCTTAGGCATATCTGTCATGTATCTATTTCAGCAGATTGTATTTAGCAGTCTGTCTCAACAATCACAAGCCAGACATTTTTGTAGAACAGCATGTGGAGAAATTACCTGCAGCAGCTTCAAAGAAAAAGTTTGGTTCTCTGATACTTATAATAATCCCCTTTCATAAAAAGTTTATTGCTTATGCCAGATCCCACAATATCCTCTCTCTACTTGATTCTGAGCCTGTCAAACCAGGTATGTTGGTCCACAGTTTAGGCCAGGAAGTAAAGAATAAAGCCATACAAAATAGCAATGAAAAAGATTATTAAAAGATTGGATCCATTTCCATGCAAGTGTGAGAGACGGCCCTGTCACTCACTACACCTGGGGAAAGGACAATTATTAAGCTGATACACAATACACTGCTTGATCTTAACCCCCCCAAGGCAACTTAACCAACTGAAGCTAGGGGGAAGTTAAGTAGGGAATGAAGAATCATAACTAGAACCAGAAGAACCTGCCAAACCAAGAAGTCTCAAAATTTGTCTCCTATAAAAAATGACACAATCAATCCCAGAAATCAGCTACCTGAAGATTTTTCCGGAGCCCAAATCTCCCAGTTCAGAAGAACTGAGTATCTTCCCTTTCCCCCAAACAAGCAGTGCTTTTTAAGGGAATGTTGTTAACTTGAAAATTGCCCTATATATGGTTTCTAGAAATATACCTGCTCTTAAGGCTCCTTGTCCATTTCTATAATCTTTATCTATTGTATAGTATTTTAATTTCAATGTTTTTCTCCCTGGTTTGTTGGGTGAAAGTCCTGCACATAAGGCAACAGCAGGAGGAACGGACAGAGGGGAGAGACTAGGCCCAATCACTGTCAAATGCACCAAGGAAACAAAACACCCTTTTGTGTTGAAATCCATGCCAGTTATACGTTTTCAAACAGGAAGGCCGCAATTCTTAGAAATGTTTTGGCATTACCACTTAGGAACAAATCCAGGGTTTGTACAAATGATGATACACAAAATAAGCTGGTATTTTATTACTGTATGCAGTTGCAATCACAGCTAATTCATGTGAAGGGACTCTAGAAGGCCCCTTCTGGATATTATGGTGGTATATCTATATTACCACTATCTTAGACACTTCTATGGATAGCATCACCATAGTACCTGGGTGACTCACAATACTTAAATATAGGTAGCCTTACCAGTCTATGAGCCAGGGAAATACTAGTATTCCCATTTTAGGACAGAGATGGGAAGCAGAGAAAGGCTAAATGATAGGCTAATGTCACATAAGGGATTGGTGGCAGAGCAGGGAATTGAACAAGGCTCTTCCAACACACACACCTGAAGCCTTAAATCATGGCTTCTGTTTGTATTGGGAGCCAGCAAGAGATGACGGGGCAAATCACCTGACACCTCCAGTCCTTCTCCTGCTCTCCTGCCCCCCAGGCAGGCTGGCGGTGCTTCTCCAGAGCTATAAAAGATTCTTGCCACCCCTTTGAAAAGCAGCAGAAGAATGAGGAAGGGCCTGGCAGCTAGGCTCCTAACTGACTCTCCCCCTTTCTCACCGTGGTCTAAAGATGGACCACTCCAGTTCTCTCTCTCACTTTCTCCTCTGTTAAAAAGCAAAGAGTGCCTCCTTCACCCGGCTCTTATAACAAGCTACTCGCTGTTTGCACGACACTTTTAGGATACACTGGTCTGTATAAATGCGGAGTGTTCTTTTATTGTAGCCAGCCTGAGCCTTTGTCGGGAAGGGCAGCATATAAATTGGCATTGTATAAACTGAATAAATAAATAAAAATGAATAACTATTCATTTCTGGGTGCAGAAGGCAGGTGGGACCAGGTGTTCAGACTTCTGGGCATGGCAAGGCTCATCAGGAAGCATCAAAGGCTACGAGCGTGTCAAGGCAGTGGAAACAACCTCTTTTCCCTCCTCTCCTTTCACTCTTCCCGCCAGGGCTGAATCAAAAAATCAACATATAGTCTGAATTATTTCCGGTCCTCTCCTTTCAAGAGATTACTGCTGAATGCTGTCATTTATTTCTCCTTTGTGTTATGGCAGAGCTGACAGGGCTCAGCCAGGATTGGGCTCTATTCTTGCAGACACTGTAGGGACACTTAGTAAGAGACGGCCCCTGCTCCAAAGGGCTGATAACCCCATCCTGGACAAGATGCAACAAGTGAGTGTAGCTAACAATGGAAGGAAAAGAGAGGGGAGGAGATGAGAGGCAGACAGACTGTGACAAACACTAGCTGTGCGCACAAGCTGATGGGTCCGGGGCCATGTCACTACTATCCTGTATTGTTTTAAACTTTCACCTATTAACCCATAACCTCCTGGCCTTAACACTTCTCCACTCACATCCCCCCGACCGCCTGTGGGTACAAGCGACCTTGGGCTACCTTTCCTCCTGGTATCATTACATTTTAAATGCATGCCTGTATTGGTCTTTTGCCTTCTAGGCAGGCTCTGCCCCACTGCACTGCTTAGTTTATTTTGTTTTATACATGCATACCCCCCCTCCCCTCCACTAAACAGCCCTCCCCCAGCACTGCCTTCCCCTTAATCATGTTTACATTAATTTAACTACTTGGGAATGGCTCACCCTTTCTTCTAAGCCAGAAGCCTCCATAAACATCCTGAAAAGCAACCTGATCAGATGTTCCTCCTCTAGGCAGTAACACGGATTTTCTTCTCTAAGCAGTTTGGAGAGAGAGAGCGAGCAGAGAGCAAGCGAGGGAGGGTGTTGAGTTGTGCTGCCTGCTCCTCCCACCAGATACAACCTCCTGCTGCCTGTCTGTAAAGCAGCATTTCAAACACTTGTGAGAAGTGAAGAGGGAGAGAGAGAGAGAGAGAAATCAGACCCTAAAGAAAGAGGGGAAAGGGAGTGGAAAGCACCACTCAGGAGTGATCCTTGCTATTTATCTCATGGATTTTACAAACTAAACCACCTCCCCCCCAGAGGCAAACTTTTATCATGAGTTTGCTGAAGCCTGGGCTGCAGGGCTGCCCTCTAGCCAAGTGATCAGAGCTTTGCGGGGCAGGCACTTTCCCCCTCTCCAGCTGTCTTTCATGGTAAAGTATTTATTCCTGCTCAGCAGCCCCGTGGATCTCTTCATCTCCCCTCCGTGCAGGAGAGATGCGCGCCGCGTGGCCCGGGCAGCCTGCCTCCCGGCTGCTGGTCCTCTCCTGCTTGTGGCTGCGCTGCATCCTGGCGGACTTCACCTTGGACAATGAGGTGCACTCCAGCTTCATCCACCGGCGGCTGCGGAGCCAGGAGCGCCGGGAGATGCAGCGGGAGATCCTCTCCATCCTGGGCTTGCCGCACCGGCCCCGGCCCCATCTGCACGGCAAGCAGAACTCAGCCCCCATGTTCATGCTGGATCTCTACAATGCCATGTCGGTGGAGGAGGCGGCCGGGGCGGCGGGGGAGGAGGGAGAGGGCTTCTCCTACCCTTACAAGCCCATCTTCAGCACCCAGGGCCCCCCCCTGGCCAGCCTGCAGGACAGCAACTTCCTCACCGAGGCAGACATGGTCATGAGCTTCGTGAACCTGGGTGAGTGTCCGAGCCCAGCCCGGGGCAGCCTGCACAGGTCTGGGACAGCCTGGGGCAAAGGATCTGAGTTTGGGGCAAGTGTCTGGAGTGGGATGGGGTGGAAGGAAGCTGGTTTCTCTGCTGGCAAAAGCAAAGAGATGGACCCAATGGCACCAGAGCCTCTGGTGGGGACAGGAGAGAATAGGCTGTGGTGGGGCAGGTAGCAACAAGGGGCGCATATGGCCCTGCTGGCAGGTGGCTTTGGGCAGGGCAGGGGAAGTAAGTGTATCTACATCCAGCCTTTGTTGCAGTGTGAATTTAAGTGTCAGGAGGTTTGGAAATCAGCTGGAAAGGGCTCACTCAGAACCTATGTCCTATGAGTAGGACTTTTACTGTGCCCCATCAGATCTCATCTGGCCTGCTCCCATGCTCCCTCCTTCTTCTTCCCTCTTGCTCCTCCACACGGAATGAGTTACCTTGCAGAATCCACGAGGGAGTGGACCTGTACAGGACCTGTTAGTGGCTCTGTCTGACTTCTTGCACCACCAAGGAAGACGTGAAGCCAACAAAAGACCTTGGATTGCAACACAGTTCAAAGCCCTGAGCTTGGAATCATGTGGACGATCACAATGCCACCAGAGCCGCTTAAGTGGACAGACCCCAGTGGAGTGGCCAAGGCAGCCTTAACTAGATTGAGAGGGCCAAGCTGCTGGAGTCTGTTTTCTTAATGGCTTGAGAAGGATTCCAGGGTAAATCCTTATTTACTCCTGCAGCTCTTTCTAGTGACCCCAGTTGAGGCAAGCTAACGTGCTTCCTTTCACACACACATGTGGATGGGTTTATGCAAATGATGTGAAAGTTGCCACGCTTTGTATGCAGCTCACTGAGCTGCTTTAATTGGATGCCGCAGTTTGCTGATATCCTCCTGATTTCTATTTGTTGGCTATAGATTGCACACCCTTTGGGACTTACTCGGCCGGATTTGAGTAAAATGCTGTCAGGACAAGCATTCTATTTTAAATATATAATTATAGGTCCCAGTTCACTGTATCTAGTTTTAGCCCTCATCACGTGTGGCTCTGAAACCACCAGATGTACAGATTGGGTGCCTGCAAATTCAAGTCAAAATCTGAATGATAATTCCAGAGCAGGGTTGACTCAAACATTGCCTAAATGAGGAGCCGTTTGCAAGGAGTGAGAAGGATGCACCTGAGATGCATGAAATGGTACAGATGTCAGATGCCCTCATCTTAAATCCTGTAATAAATCTGCCATCACCTAGAACTTCCTGGTTATCACTTGGAGCTTCATGGTGGCAACAGGCATTGTGCAATAGTTGTCCTTCCCCTAGCACTGTGGGCTAAAGGAGAAGTATCAGTAGCTGTATAGGCTTTATGACACACACATATGTGAATAGCTGTGATCATATACAGTAGCCAACCTCAGTCCAATCCTGAAGTGATACTTGGAGATGAAGCACTGCATGCTGAGATCTCAAGTTTCAGTGGAATTGCATCTCCATATTAAATACCATAAGCCTCACTGGTAGGACTCTACAATTGGCCCAAAGGCTGTACTCTTTTCAGACTGCTAATATAGTCCATTTGGAAGTATAATGCTTGTCTAATAGTTTTTCAGTATGTAAGCCAATTAGCATTGATACATTTTAAAATCAATATTTGTGCAGCCAGGAGTACCACTGGTGGGCAAATATTTGACTTTAGAGATAAGAGAAATGGTGCTAATATTGTGCTGTGCTGTACCTCAGTGTACATATAATGTATGGCCACAGTGCGGGGACATACAGAAAACAAAGGAAATAAACAAAGTTGGCACTTTTATTTTCTACTGTAAAAGTAGATTCTTTTTTTGAAAGGGCTGAATATTTAATAGAGTCAACTCCAGATAGTGAGATTTACCTCCAGGTGAACAATTATATCCTTTGGTTTTTGTGAAGTTAGTTTCAAAGTAGATCTCATAAATGCAGCTCTGGGGACCCAGTTCCAAGCTCAATAATGTGGGGAAAAGCCATCTTTGAAGGCCCCTGGAGTTTTATGTAAAAGACATTATGGTTTAGCCTCTAAAGTAACTTATTTTGCACAAACATGTTAGCTCAGTGTAATCATAGTGAAATTAGTCAATACATTGTAATTGAGATTTGTTTTCTTGGATGCATCTATCCCATGAATATAAAAGAACATATCAATAAAGATGATTATATGTAAATTACACAGGTTACAGTATAACATTAAAATTATGAACTGCATAAAAATGTTGGCTTTTGTAATCAGTTTAAAGAGTATGAAAATGTTCTTGCCAAAGTATTTCATTATTATTTAGTTTAATTTCTGCCAGCATGGTCAGTCATTAGTCAAAGCGTAGGCAAGATCCAGTGGTTTTATATAGGCAGGTGGAATTATTACCAACAAGGCACTTTTCAGAGGTTTATCTGTACTGTTTTGTTCCCCTGTCAACAGTGCATGCCAGGACGAGTTTAAAAAGGACATAGATCCATAATAGCTTTCTTCATCACTGTGCACACCTTTCATCCCATTATAGTCATAGTTCTTTCATCTTTTTAGGACAAAGACTTACTTGTTTATGGACTTTTTAATGAATTAGATTAGCTACTAGCTCACATATATAGCTAAGCACAACACCTGCTTTAGTATGTACAGTTTTCTATGACATTCAGGGAAAATTAGAAGATCTATTGTAGGACTGATATTTTTTTGGAGGTTTTCTACAATGATCCCATTTAAACCAGAACTGAATTGCTAAATGCAGTCTGTATTAAACTGTGTCCTGGTTTTGTAAGAGATACTCTGCAGGCATTGTATTTCACAGGTAGGCTTTTATTACATACTAGAACCAGCACAATGAGGAAGTGTCATAGCATAATAAAATATGCATCTTAGTAATGGGGGAAGTAAATGTAAGTAAAGAAGTCATAAATAAATCTAAACTTCAGTAAACAAGCTATGTTACTGAAGCCATTCAAACAGTAGTCTACTGATACACTTTCTCTCTTTGTGCATAGCTTTTCAACCATCTAACATAATAGTTTTATTGGGATTAAAAAGTTATACATTTGATAACAGATTACAACTTCTGAAAAAAAGAATAATGCTCATTGACTCCTATGGAATTAGAACACAGTTGAATATGCTAAAAAAGTTTATAAAGGACCTTGGTGATTAGGAATGAAAATACATGTGCTTTATTCCAGGGGTAGCTTGAAATAAAAACAAAGCACAAAAAGGATGGAGCAAGCAGCATTATTTGAATATCTTTACAGTTAATGAGATAAAGAATTAGATTAATTTAACTCAAGGGTTGAAGTCTGTCCTAAATTAACACCAATGCTGACAGAGATGAGGCAGGAGACTTATGAATGGTATTAAGTGCAAATAAAAGTAGAATCTAAATAATGGCCAGGCTTATAACATTTATCATTATAATTTAATTCATCTGGATTTCAGTACAGTCCACATTAAATAAAGTTTCCAAAGGGAACCTCTGAAGAACAGAAAAGGTTTTCTGCACAAGTTTAAAGTTCATAAACAGAAACTAGAGAGTAAACATCCATCCCCCAGATTACTTAGAGCTTCTCTTCTAAAAACAATTGGATTGTCTAAGTCCATAGTCTTGACTTGGTAAACAGTCCCGCTTTGAATATTTTTAAAAGCCTCAGTACAAGTGATGTGCGATTAGTTAATTTGTTTCATAGTTCATTTTAAAATGAACAAAATTGTTTAATCCTTGAAAAAATAAGAGAGGGGGAAAAAAACAGAAAATTAGTCATTCTTGGAAAGAGTACATGAAAGTGGCTTTTGTTAATGTAAATCAAGAAGCTGAAGAGCCCCCAAGTTTTATTTTATTTCATACCATCTGGCTGTCCTTTTTGTTGACAAGCGTTTGGCATAGCGAACCATCGCTTTGCCCTTTAATAACAGGCTTTAACACTGTAGGGTATTAGAAAAAGATTCTATAACAGTTAAAAAATTTCCTTCGGGGAATACTTTTATAAAGTGAGCACGGGCTGCAGGCATTTGCAGCTGTAACCTGGCTTGTGTTAAAATTTGGAAGGGGCTGCCTTGCATTCCAGCTCACTACAGGCCTTCACTGGTGTACAGCCAAAGGTTAATATAGATGTCACACAGTTTTTCTTTGGAGAGCCTCAGATATAAGAGTACACGTACAGCTGTGTTTTTAGTAACCCTTTCATAATCACTTCTTTTAAACCTCATTTTCCTGCTTATATAAATCAAAGATTTTCAAGGATATTTGACCTGGATTTGAACTTATTTGATCTTCACGTATTTCCCACTTGAAACAAAGCAGATTAAATGTTGGCCCTGAATGCCTGTTCATGATCACATGGTTTGGTCCATATATTAGGCCAAGCCATCAGATTTTTTTCCCACCTAGCGTTGTTTCAGTAGTTAAGACTTAACAGGTATGTACTGTGATTATTTTGGACAGTACGCATATAGGCATATTGATGGTATGAAATCAGCTATGGGAAAAAAATTTGTAGAAATTGACTTCAACATTGAATTAATGAATTATGGTGACTGAACAACAAGTAGCTACCAAGTACAGTATTTGTGGATAGTCCCGACCAATCCTGGAGGAAATAATTCATTTAGTTCTGGCTTTCCCAACTGTAAAATGGAAACTGAGAATAGCTGCTACTTGCACCCCTCAGAAAGGTCAGGGGACAGAGTGCAGCTGACCCAGAGCAGATACACAGAGACTGTGAAAGGGGACAAGAAGACATGCAGTCCCTTACAGTCTCACATAGTCCCCATCCCAAAGCCTGGTCTTGTACCAATAAGACTGGCAAACCCCTGCTTGCAGGGAGAGGCTGTCCATTCTCCCTGCACCCCTTTCAAGGATGTACAGCTTTCTTGGGAACTCAAGCCCCTACTAGAAACAGTTTTAATAGCCAAACTGTAGTCCTTGTAAAGTACTATGAAGAAGACAAACCTGTGGGCCAGAACCTGTGATCCTGCAAT